TTTTACCCTCAACAAAATGAATTTCCATTCTTTATACTTTCTTTTATTAAAACACACATCTTTTTAGCAAGTAGAGATGTTTTCTTCTTCAAGTAGCTTTAATTAGACTTCAAAACCATTAGGAACTTTAATTTTCAGTGAACACTGAGAAGTAGGCTATTGTAAACTATTGCACTAGCATTCTGTAGATTAACAAATTCACGAACACACTTTATAATTCTTGACACCATGTGCTTTACAGCATAATCCCTAAGTGCAAAATATGTCTACTTAACTTAGCAAAACTTTAAGATTCTAGGTTACCACAAAAATTTTCAGGCTGCAGGCAGGTACATACACTGCAATACACAATCACTAAGATGTTCACCTGCAACACCCAGCTCACCCACTCCCAACAACCACGCCAGACCACTCACAAAACGGAGGGTGTGGGGAGGGGTGTAGGGTCGGGAGAGAAAGGAGGCAGGTCTGTGCTGGGAGGAGTCTTGTCTGTGGCTTCTGGAATCCGAGGGTGGGAGAAGCCTGCTCCAGTTGGGGAAGAGGGCGGTGAAGGTAGAAGGAGAGGGGAAGAGGGATGGTGCAGCCACTGGAAGAGGAGAGGAGCAGGAAGGCAGTGTGGCTGGGAATGAAGGACTTGAAGATGGCAGTGACGCAGGGAGGGGACAAAGAACTTAAAGATGGTGGTGGAGAGGGGTGGGGGTAGCGAGCTGAGAGAGGTGGGAGACCAAGGTCCTCCCACAGATCTGAAAAGGAAGAAGGACTGGGCAGAGTAAGAGGCTTACAATCTTTAACCGGAGATCGGGCCAGGAGAACCTGGGTCATTGAACACTTAATGTAAAGGTCTGGGCAGGAGCACAATGTCCAAAAGGCCTGCACATATGGGATTTCACCCCACTTTCTGCTGCAGTGGCAATAATTAGTCAAATCAGTGAGGAGCCAAAATTGAAGTTCCCTCAGGGGGCCAGCGAGATTGGTTGTCCAAGGGATACTGAGGACAGGCCTCAGAGCAAAGGAAGACCAGCTTCCATTTGCAAACTTCCCAGGACAAATATAGAGTAGCCAAATTAGAAATGAGATACTGCAGTGGGGTCTGAGCCTCTGCTTTCGAAGGCTAGTTCCCCATGTCTGCGCCACTTCCCAACTAATCCCGCTGAGAGGAGCACCCAGTGTCCCAAACGCACCAAGTCAGGGGAGACGTCCTGGGAGCCTGGGTGAGAGATGTCTCCCACACCACAGGGCCAGGCGTGGGCCGGATGCCCGCAGACGGGGGGCCAGATGCCCAGGGGCCGGATGCCCCAACCTGGACGTAGCTACAATTTCAAACCGACCAGGTGAAACGGAGTTAGGAAGGGAAACAGACTGGGGGAAACTGAGGGACTCACCGGAAAATAGTCTACACAGCAGAGAGCAGGCTGAGGTCCCAGGTCGGGGAAGGAGGATGCAGGGCTGCCCGTGGCCAGTCAGGGCCCCGCACTCATGCTCCTTCCCGGGTTTTGGCACCAAATGTAAGATAAATTCTAAGATAAATTCTAACCAAAATAAGCAGGCGACGAGAGGCAACAAAGGGCCAGGCAGTTTATTTGAGCGCAATACCTGGGTGAGGTTCACCAGTCCGCATAAACACAGGCTGGGGAAGTTGTGCCCAGCAGGGGAGGCGGGTAGTTTTTAAAGAAGGTAGGGGGAGGCAGAGCATAGATTTACAGTGGCGCAAGGATTGGCTAGCCTAAGGCACCTTTTTCAGGTTGGGAGTGGGCAGCAGCCAGGGACTTGGCACGTCATCAGTGTCCAACGTGCTCACCCCTCCCTCTGATGCCTCCAGCCTTACAGGTAAATGATTAACACCAGGGTTAGAGCCAACAGATATCAGAATGATGTTCTAGTCACCCAAACAGGGCCAGTCCTATGAGACTAGTCTTTTAGAAGGATTAATCTTTACAGATAAATAGACAGTTAGGACTCCCAGTTAAAGCTGGGCCAAGGAAAATGGTTTATTCCAGAATAAGAAAACTAGATTAGATATAAAAGGTCTATTATGTGAAAAGTTTGTGAAACCTTTCCTTGAGTCCCAAGAAAGCTGTCATGGGATCATGGCAGTTTCTTCTATGAGGCAAGGGAATTGCTCAGGTAATATTCCAAGGGCAGTTCCATGCCAAGGTTATAGGTTTCTTTGATAACTAAAATTGAATATGTTAACACCTGGTTAATATAAGGTTTGGTTTAGGCCTTACATTGTAGAATTCCAAAATAGGTTCAAATGCACAGAAGAGGTTGGGATGATTTAATCCAGTGGTTCCCAAATCTGGCTTTCCACTGACCATCTGTCACCTGCCACCTGATTTCTCTGGTTCACAGTTCTATCCTGAAAGAGAGACTTTTTGTCTATGCCTCAAGAAGCAATGAGCAAGCTACCCTGCCCTGGCATTCTGGACATCTGCACTACCCCTCAATCCTTCCTCCACCAGGTGTTTCCCCCAAAATACAGATATATGAGTGTGTTGAGAGCAGAGCAGACATGACACTTAATATGACTTACTATTGTCTTTTAACTCCTCTTCACCCAGGTCCCTCTTCCCAAGTATCAGGAGTTGGGGTGTACGTTCCCTCCCTTTTCCTGGGGCAAAAAAAAAGTTTTTGTTTCACCACCTAGTCTTGGTGGCCAAGGGCCACAAGAAAAACCCCAAGTTACAGATAAAGTACACTGAGGAATATTTCAAAAAATATTACCCTTTTATACAATATATGAAAATTGTGTGTGTTTTCTTTGTCTATCCTACTAGACTGTCAGTCAAACTGTTGTACCTCTGCAAAAAAACAATTCTTAGGAGGTCTTACTGAGTCATTAAGGAAACATCAACTTCAGAGATAAACAGTAGACATTTAATTCAAAACCACGTCGCACAATGGAACAGAATAGGAAATGCAGAAATAGCCACATATACACACACATATAAACAAGTGATTTCCACACCTATAGAAAGGTGATGCAATGGATAAAGGAGAGTCTTCAACAAATGGTGTTTGAACAATTGGATAATCATAGGGAGAGAAAATGAACTTCGAACCATACTAGTGGTAGGCAGATAAGGCCCTCCCTCAGACGCCCACACCCTAATCCCCCAAAACCCATGAGTATGTTATGAGAAAAGACAAGCCACAGACTAGGAAAAAAATGATTGCAAATCATATGTCTGACACAGGACTTTTCTCTAGACTATATAAAGAACTCTCAAAATTCAATAATAGGAAAACAAACACAAACAAAATTGGCAAAAGACTTTGAACAGATACTTCACCAAAGATACATGGATGGTAAATAAGTACATGAAAAGGCATTCAAAATCACTAGTCATAGAAAAAATGAAAGTGCTAACCACAAGAGACACCACCCCATCCAAAGATGTGGAACAACTCTCACACACTGCTGGTGGGAATGGAAAATGGTCCAACCACTTTGGAGAACAGTTTGGCAGTTTCCTAAAAAGTTAAACGTGTAAGTACCCTATGACCCAGACATTCTGCTCCTAAGTATTCACCCAAGGGAAATGAAAACATACGCCCATGCAAAGACTTGTAGATGGATGTCCAATAGTAACTTTATTTGTAATAGCCCTAAACTGGAAACAACTCAAATGTCCATCAGCAGATGAGTAAGTAAACTGTGATACCCATACAACCGAATGCCATCTAGCAACAAAAAGGAATGAATTCTTGATAATACGACAGATAAATCTCAGGGTCTATGTGAAAGAAGCAAGACAAAAAAAAAGAGTACATACTGAATTACTCGTTTCACATAAATTTCAAAGAAATGAAAACTAATATTTAGTGACAGAAAACAGATCAGAGCCTGGGGTAAAAGGGCTGGGGAGGGACAGGAGGGAGGGACTACAAAGGACCACGCGGAAACTCTTGAGAGTGACAAATCTCACTGTCTTGAGACGGTTTCATGGTTATATACGTATGTCAGAACTTATCAAATTGTCCACTTTAAGTATGTTCGGTTTATTGCATGTATGCTATTTATACCTCCATAAAATTTTCTTAAAAATACAGTAAGAGATACGATTAGCATGTATAATGTGGGGGGGACACGGGGAGGGCTGTGCAACACAGAAGACAAGTAGTGATTTTACAGCATCTTACTATGCTGATAGACAGTTACTGATGGGGTATGTGGGGGGGACTTGGTGAAGGGAGGAGTCTAGTAAAGATAATGTTCCTCATGTAATTGTAGATTAATACCAAAATAAAATAAGAAATATATAGAGTAAGAGAAAAAAATTAAATATGTAAAAGGATCAGACGGTGCTAACAAGTTATATTAGCATGGCAGCACCACATTAGGATAAAGTGGGGCTTCTCCGGCTGCCTTGCAAAAGTATGCTCTGTCAAGTGGGGGAACCCGCGGCCCAGGAGCTTGTCCTCTCCGGTCACCTGAGAGGTGCAGGCTGGCGTGCCCGACGAAAATTTGGGGTAGGAGGAAAGACAGCACCTCAGAAAGGGTTGGAAGAGGGGGATGCTTGACACTGAAGCCCGACAGGTTCTACGTGCTCCCTTCCTCCCGCCTTGCTGCCAATCGCCACAGCCAGCTTTCTATTTCTGAATTTGTGTGAACAGCTTGTTTTGCATGGACCTGGGCGGTCCCACGTGAAAGCTGCGACATCCAATCAGGAGTGAGAATAACATCTCACAATCTGTGATAAGACACAACCTCGACGCCCACAGGGAAATGACACCGCGGGAAATCTCGAGTCTCCCATGAAGGGGGCATCGGGGCTGAGCCTCCACGGCCCGCCCTGCCCTGCGTGGCCCGGCAGCCGGGCACAGCCTCTTCCTTCCGGAAACACACCTCCGGGCGGGGCGGGAGGCGGGGCCCAGCCACGACACGCCCCCTCACCGCAGCGCGCAGCCTCGGCAGAGCCGCTTTACGGCCGGAGCCGAGGGTGGGTCCCCAGACTCGAGGTGGGAGGCCGAGCGGAGGGGCGGGGAAAGAGTCCTTTTGCGGCAAGACGTAAGTGACGGAAAAGGTGGCGCGACTACTGCTGGAGGGCAGAGGAGGCGGGTTCGTGTATCCCGGGCCGAACCGGGCTGTGGGGGGCGCGGGGCCTGGGCCGGGACGGTAGCCAAAGGCCCGTGGCGACAGCATGGGTCAAGGGGAGCGGAGCGGAGCGGGGGAGACCTTGGCTGCTCTGGGCGGCGGGTGGGGCTGAGTGCTGGCGGGCTGGAGTTCTGAGTCCAGGCCGGGGTCTGATCCGCGGTTGGTGTCCCCCGAACCCGCAGCGTGGCCCGTCCTGTCCTCGCCATGAGGCCTCAGCAGGCGCCAGTGTCCGGGAAGGTTTTCATTCAGCGAGACTACAGCAGTGGCACTCGCTGCCAGTTCCAGACCAAGTTCCCCGCGGAACTGGAGAACCGGGTACGCAGCCTGGCGCCCTGCGCCTGTCCTGGGACGAGGGTGGGAGATCCCGTCGGCGGGAGAGCGAACGGGGCGGCGGCGGGCCCTCGCAGGGGCTCGCTGCTCTGGGGAAAAGCGGGCCGAGAAGGGGCCTTGGCCAGAAGTGAGCGAAGAGGGCCTCTTAAGCAAGACCGGGTGTTTGGAGGAGGAAGAATAAGGCCAAGCCCCGGGCTGTGATGACCCTAGGACTCTGTGATACCTAGTGTCGGGAATCGGTACCCAGCTGGCTTCTTCCCCGGCTGCCCTCCCAGCCCTATCCCCGCACCGGCTTATTGACAGCAGTAATGAGGAACTAATTCCTGAGGCTTCAAGCCACCTCACTCAGCGTGTTGTTAAGATGTATCCTCCTACTTCGCCACGCAAGAGGGATCATTCTCGTGACTAGCAGTTCTGGCCACTCTGCTGGTCACACTGCTCAGCAGGGTTTATTAAGTGCAGTGCCAGGCAGTACTCAAAGGCCTTCTTGGAACCCGAAAAATAAAGACTATTCGATGGGCCTGGACAAGGAGAGATCTTAGAACATGGCCTTAAACTTATCCTTCCCAATTGTTTTTATCACTGGGAGCCACCCGTGTTCCATTGGCTTACATATCAAAGTAGTCATCAGGATATATGTCCTTCATGCAATCTTGCATACAGAAACAGAAGAATGGAGTGTTTCCTCTTTCTTCAGACTTAGCAAAAATAATTGTATTTTAAAGGTACAATGAACATATGTGAGTGTGTGTGTGTTTGCTTGTGCCACATATGTTCAGCCACCCAAAGAAAGGCTTTAGTCTTGAGCCACGTTATCTTACGTTCTCTTTCCTTTTCAAAGGTCAGTTTCTGGTTAGATGGGAGCAGGTTTTGTGCTCTTTCCTCGGACCGGGAGGGGTGAGGGACTGAAGTGATTAGGCATGCTGTGGGTGTGGGGCTAAGAAATGCTGGTCATGGAATAAATACGTAGAGATGAGTCTGTACTGGAGAAATGTGTAGCAGTCATTTAAAATAAGCTTGTAGCAAGGTAGGTTGTTCTACCTGATTGCCAAGATTGGAAAATCAACTTATACCAGTTAGAGTGCCTTTCAGCTTGATTTGTAAGTGTGGGCAGGTTAGGGGCCCATGTTTCTTTAAATGCAAATTAAAGATGAGACACGCCTTCTAAAGTTGGTTTGTAGATTAGCATGTTTGTGAAATGCTATATAAGTGCTACAGTCTTGTTGTGATGTTAGGAGCTAACTCAGCCTGACCCTAGGTGAACGTTTCCACAGCAGTTTGAACAGGTAAATATTGAGTAAGTTGCTTGTTGGCTTAGTGCTACTGACTGTTGTTTTTAAAATAACATCATAGTTAACATGTTTTACATGTTAAGACTTACATGAAATGGATCACATGTTTTATTTTTAAGCCTGTTATGGAAACTCTGACTTACACTATTTATGTACTTTCAAATCAGAATGTAAACTACTCTTTTTCACCACACTTATTTGGATGTTGCAAGATTTCTTTGTTTCAAGGTTTTAAAGTCAAACCCCCCAACTCACAGTTTAGCCAAATATTTCTATGCAGAATCAGACATCAGCCCTCTACTTGGTATGTGGTATGGTAGAGCCTTTATTTTGCAGCTCGGGTACAGGAACACAGCATAGTCCCAGTACTCCACGTATTTTTACAGGAAATTGATGTTTCTAAACTCTTGAGAGCCCTTTTACTTTGACTTCATGCAGCCCAGAACTGCTTGTGATTCTAAGTTGGTGCTATTCTGTTGTGCCTGTGAATTTTCTTTTTCTTTTTAAATGTTGATGTTAAAACACTAGCTTATGCTTTAAACTACTTGGGAAAGCTTTTTTTTTTAATGTATTGAGATTAGATTTAAATTACAGGTTTAAATTTTTCTTGCTTTGATGGAAATTGAAAGGTTTCTTTCTTTGTTTCCCTCTACTTACCATAGAAATTATACTGATTTCTCTGCCACTGGGGCTGGTTTTCCTTTGTGAGGACATCACACTTGGCAACTTAGTAGAGGAAGAAACTAATATACCAATGTTTTGTCTTTAAAGCATCAAGAACACACACATTTGTACCCATTAATTTGGCAGTGAGGACAAGTTCTGCCTGTTAACAAGTTTATTTTCTCCTCTGCCTATTAGATTGTAATTCTTTGATTCTTAAGTGCATTGTTGCTGGGACAGTACAGACATCTTAGGCACCTTTGGTCTGGGCAGAAGACAAATGAGTGAAATATAATTAAGGCATTTGTTCCCCTATGTACCTTTAGAAATACATCTCTGCATCAGGTCAGTAGAAATTACCTTTGACTTGTGATCACTTTACGTGTCAGCCCCATGCTTTCACCACAGAGCTGAACAAGAAACAGAAATTCTGGGAAAATGAGCCTGATTCCTGTAAGATAAATTCTAGCCAAAATAAGCAGGTGACGAAAGGCAACAAAGGGCCAAGCAGTTTGAGCGCAATTCCCGGGTGATGTTCCTCGGTCTGAAACACAGGCCGGGGAAGTCACACCCGGTCGGGGAGGTGGGGGCTTATAAGGGGTTAGGAGAGGGAGGAGTGGGCAAGCTTTCCTAGGGGGTGTGGAGAGGTATGATTGGCTAAAGGTGACATAATAGACAACTAGAAATTTTTTTCCTTCCAAGAGGGAGGAGGCTGACATCCGGGTCTTAGTTGGCACATCAGAAGGATGGAATTCAGGAAGAGCTGTCCCCTTTGCATATACGGCATGGACTTTGGGGTCTGGTCTGTTCTCCTTTTATGGTATCTCTCTGTTCTGTTTGCATGTCTTTGTTTTTCCTTCCTCCAGCCTAACATTCCAGCCTTTTGGTCATAATGGGCGATGACTCGATCTGGCTACTTCTGGCTGACAAGGGGTGTCGTGGGGGTTTGAGGCTGGTATTAGGCTGAAGGAGGGGGTTCAGTGGGAAGACGTGTGTAATGGTGAAGTAACATCTGGTTGGTGGCGACTCAGGTCATCTGGGTTAGCTGCTATTGGAGGAACCTGAAGACACAAGGGGCAGCTAAGAGTAAACCACAAACTGTTATTAAGGGGCCCAGTAGGAGCATTAGCCAGGCCATTATGGGGGACTGGAATTCTGGATTGAGTTTACATCTCAATGACTAGTGTTAGGATTTAGTATAGATAAGACTGCATTATTGAAACAATACTTTTCTCTAAAATCACCCTCATTTTTATTAGAAGTAGCCAGATTAAGAAAATAGTTAACAGTTGGCTTGATTATTTGCATAAGTGCAGCAAGAAGAGCAATTGAGTACATAGGGTCTTTTAAATATGCTTTGCTGGAACTTTTTATAAGGAATTTCAGATTGGACTTTTAAAGGCTTCTTGAGGCCAGAAAACCAAGCCAGACTTGCCATCAGGTTGTGTCTGCAATACCTGTACATTTGGGTGAATTCCTCTCTTCTTGAGGTTCTCAAGACATTCTTGAGGTTCCTGCACCTGCCAGGAAGTGACCTTCTTTACTCACTTGGTAAGGCTGCTGGGAACCCTGTAAGCAAGGTACCAGCCCAGTTCTTCCAAGGGGCTTTGTTGGCTTTATAAAGTCAATCTTAGTTCCTTAAAGCTGTTCATATCTGAGTTTATGCACGTGTCTCTCAGGTATGATGTTCCAATAAACCTTGGTAGTTAACGTGTGTTTTTAATTGGTCTTCTTACAAGGAAAGCAGGTTCTTATTGAACTTATGCAAATAAACATACTGCCATGAAATATAAAAATAGTCACTGAGAGTTTTTAAATTCTGGAAGAATCAGGTAGAGAGAAAGATAAAGTTTAAATTCTGCTTATAAAGATAGTCATTTAATAAACTGTTGTCAGCTTAAGAGAAAAAGCTTAAGAGAAAAGCACCTTATCAGCAACATTTGAAACAAAAAGCTACAAAATCATCTTCCTTAGTTTACTTAATCCTATGTAACCAATACCTGTTCTGCTGAAATCTAGTTCTTTACTAGTTTAGGAGTAATAAACAGTGAGTATAAATGACAAAAGACTTACAAATGACAATGGCTAAAGATCTGATGAGAGCTTACTGTAGGACAGTTTACATAAGGAAATTCGGATATTTCTGTAACACAAAACATTCAGTAACAAAGTTTAGCATCATTTTCTTTGAAAGTGTTTTCTATGTAATTAAGCAGGTAATTATATATCAGATAAATAAGCCAAATTAGCCAAATACTTTCTCTAAGGAGAAAAAATTTATCTGACATGTTCCAGGGGCCCTCTGGAAAATATCAAAGTTAACTCCAGATAAAAGCACTTTTTTGCATTTGCTTAAATAGGATTATAGGTTGCCATGAAGCAATACTTATCCATTTAACCAGAATGGCAACAAAATACCTTAAAGGCAAATAAAGAAGGTTACACAGTTGTTAGCAAAGTTTAGCTTTTAATCCTTTTAATATTAAGATCTCATTTTCTTAAATACTCCCAACAACTCACTGAGACTTTAAGCATGAGAAACTGCTTTGATAAAACAATTAGAGAACTCTTTGCAATCTTTCAGTATTAAGAGCAGACTAACAGTTAAGAAATCTTTATCTTTTTAACTGAAAACAAAATTCTAATTTTGCTGTGTACTTGATACCGAGACTCATTTGCTTTAATTTTATATAGCATGACCATATTAAATTCTTCCACAAACTTTCTACAACCTTTTTCATTTAGATTTCTCCCTCTAAATAAACAGCTGTAATTTAGAACAATTACTTTCTTTTATCAAAAGACACATTCTTTAGCATGCAGAAATATTTTCCTTATTACTTTAGGTAGTTTTAATTAGAACTTAAAACTATTAGGTACCTTAATTTTTAGTTAACACTGAGAAGCAGGTTATTGTAAACTGTTACACTAGCATTCTTTAGATTGACAAATTTATGAATATTTTATAATTTCTGTAACTATCAGCTTTACAGCACAGTCTCTCACTAAACAAAGTATATCTTCTTAACAGCAAAACTTTAAGGTTTTAGGTTACTACAAAGATTCTCAGGCTGTAGGAAGGTATACACACTGTAACACACAATTAAAAAGGTGTTTACTTGCCACACTTATTTAGTTCACTCATTCGTAACAACTATGCTAGATTACTTACAAGACTTTTACTGAATATTAGACAAAGCCAAGCCTTTAAGCATTTTATTCTTAAAAGATTTAGCAGAAAACATCAACTTAAATGACCTTAGGTAAACTTAGGCAGCTGATAACCACAAGGACATGCCCGCCTCAGCCAAACCCAGATTAGCATTAATGCTTAACATTTTTTATCAGATTTTCTGGAAGTTTCAGAATGCCCAATTTTCACAAGTGCTTGTTTTTAAATCAATTTTTATTAATACTATCTGGAGGTAGGAAAATATTTTTCATACATACACCTAGACACACAAACATACAAACTGAGACACGACTACAGCCAGCAACACTCCCCACACAAAAACATATACACAGACAGACAAACCGATATAAAGACTTGAGTCACTGATATCTAATTGCCTTCCCTCTTTTCAGCTTCCTGTCTGTGGCTTCTGGAGCCAGAGGGCGGGAGGAGCATGTTCTGGTGGGGGAAGAGGGCGATGAAGGCGGAAGGAAAGGGGGAGGGAGTGGTGCAGCCGCTGGAAGAGGAGAGCAGGACGAAGGCATGGTTGGGAATGTAGGACTTTAAGATGGCGGCGACACATGTGAAGACAAAGGACTTAAAGACAGTGGTGGAGAGAGGGGGAGGGGATCGTGAGCTGAGGGAGGTGGGCGACTGAGGTCCTCTGGTGGATCTGAAAAGGAAGAAGGACTGGACAGAGTAAGAGGCTGACCATCTTTAACTGGAGATCGGGCCAGGAGAACCTGGGTTGTTGAACACTTAACATAAAGGTCTAGGTAGGAGCACAATGTCCAAAAGGCCTGCACATATGGGATTTCACCCCACTTTCTGCTGCAGTGGCAATAATTAGTCAAGTCAGTGAGGAGGCCAAAATTGAAGTTCCCTCAGGGGGCCAGCGAGATTGGTTGTCCAAAGGATACTGAGGCCAGGCCTCAGATCAAAGAAAGACCAGCTTCCATTTGCAAACTTCCCAGGACAGAGTAGCCAAATAGAAATGAGCCCCCCTTCGTTCTGTTGAACTCTCACGTGTTAACGTTTCGTCATTTGCCTTTACTGCTGGCTCCTGTACTTTTTGCCTTTTTCCAAACCCTTTTCTTTTTTAATAACCTTTCAGAGAAACTCTTGACTTTTTATTTTTTACTTTTTCCTTTTTTCTTTTTTCCCAATTATTAAAAAATATCCTTCACCTTGTTTTCATTTTGTTTTGTTTCATTTTTGTTTGGGATTTTGTTTTTGTTTTTTTTAATCTGTGGTTTGCCTCCACCCTGTAAAGCATTACAGTCTTGGAATAACTTTTAAGAATTAACGCTCCTGGTAGGATCAGTAATTCTAATCTGAAAGAAAATGATTTGGAGATGGACCCCATGATTTTGAATCATAGTGTGTCCTAAGATATACAAATAAATAAAATGACCTTATCAGATCATGACATTTGTAGGTAAATCAAATGTGTTAGAAATTATTTGCATTTACTGATATGAGAAGCTAAAGACATTAATTTAGGCATAATTAGGTAAAAGTAACAATTTATCACTGACATTTGCTCAGCTGAGCCGTCTTCCTAAGGCTTTTTTCCAGGGAATGAGAACTGTGACGGGTTCCCCAGCTGACCTTTGCTGTCACCCACATCCTCCCCAGGTGGCTCAGTGGGGGACTGCTGCCCTGGCATTCAGCGCCATCCCTGCCAGCCCAACCCTTGTCAGAAACTCTCCAGTCATTCTGGGAAGTTAAAAGTAGCTCCCTTTGAAAAGTGGGTGGAGCCACTGCCACCTTAAAGTTTACATTAAAGTTTTTCATGCCCCTGGCTTGTTGAGTCCTCAACATTTTCCACCTGATGAACAAAACAGTGGTTGCAACAGCCTCTGACCTAAAGGATTTTGATAGCTTCAGGATGATTCTCATCAATTCTTACACTTCTACAAATTGTGTTCTTGGGATTATTTTGTCTGAAACTGTATATTGAGGGTCTTTGACCGTTTCCTGAGTCTACTGCTGCAGAAAGACTTGATAAAAGAGAGAATGCACTTGTAAGCAGTCATTAGCTTAGGAATAGGGAGATGCTATGTGAGAGGAGACCCAGAGAAGGGCAAATATTGCTGTTTCCAAGAATGATAGTATTGGGTGAAATACTCTACTCATGGGCTTTGAAAGTCTTAGAGCAAAGTATTGAGATTTGAAACCTACCAAGTGCCCCTAGAAGAAGGAAAAGCAGATGTTTAGAGTGAAAAATGGATGATGGTGTTATTAGTGTAAATGGAAGATAACAGTGTTGCTGAACAGAAAGAGGTAATAGAAACAATTTGGTGTGAAGAGCTGTGTGGTAGTTTGAGATGTTGCCTTGTTCAGCAAGGTTTTTTTAACCTAATAGTTACTTTAAAAAAATATGGGAGATTGAACAGAATACAAAACTTTTGATCCTTCTGCTTAAAATGTCCTTACTTCCCTCTTTAGCCTAGTAAATTCCAGTGTTTAGGGACTCAATTTAAGATTACCTGCTCCTTCCAGATAAAGGGAACATCTTCCTCCTTTTGTGCCCCTGCCATACTTTATGAATGCCTCTGTGAAGGACTCTGTCAGTTTATTGTTTTATATTTACATATCTGTTCTGCTTTCATGACTGTAAACTCCTGGAGGACTGAACAGTGTCTTACTCACTTTCTCTAGGGTCTGTCATACTGTCTTACAGCGGGTGCTCAGTAAATATGAGAGATGGAAGGACTGTATAACTTATCTGAAGTTCAGTTAGAGAATAAAGAAACAATATATTGAGCCTTGAAAATATCCAGTGTCCATAAGAGGGATAAAATTTAAACTAAACAGTTTCAGTAACCTAAATCCTTTTAATCACCTAAAAAATTATTTGCCAACTATTAGATACGAATGTTGACAAAACAGCAAAATAAATTGATAACAGGAATTGGTGAGTTTGCTGATCCTCTTTTAAATTCCTTTTTCTGTGCAGATTGATAGACAGCAGTTTGAAGAAACAGTTCGAACTCTAAATAACCTTTATGCAGAAGCAGAGAAGCTTGGGGGCCAATCATACCTTGAAGGCTGTTTGGCATGCTTAACAGCATACACCATCTTCTTATGCATGGAAACTCATTATGAGAAGGTAAGCCTACCCATGTTTTCACAAAATCTCTTAAAGTCATAAAGAATGGGAGTTTTATTACATGTTTATGTGGTAACAATTGCCATAAAATTTAAAGGGGCATTTATTATAAAAATTCACATTTTGTTGTTGCTCCTATGTCCAGAGCACATAGGAAAGAGTCATAAGTCTTTTGCTTGACTTACACTTAAGAAGAATGTAGAAAATGTATATGCTCATTCTCTTCAGCTTTCTGAGAATCCTTTTATTTGTGCCCCCAAATTGCTATCTTCAATCTTACCCACCCCCCACTTGAGTTCTTATCTTCTCTTTCCAACTTCCTGCTAGATCCAGAGTAGCTGGCTTTTCAACTTCGATGTCGGGTGTCACCCACCACCCCTACTTCATTGTGTCTTTGTCAGTACCACCTTCAGCTGTGGGGGATGAAGAAGGGGAAGAGCATGTCAGTTGGCAAGACTGAAATGTCTCCTGTTTAACCATTCATTCACTGTTCTTGGGCTCCTCTACCACTACCTTAATGTATGCCCTATTACATCTCTCCTAGACTGTTGAATAGTCTCCTGACAGTCTCATTTCTTCCATTCTTCTACTTTTCCATACTGTCCACTGCTATCTTCATAAAACACAGCCTTACTTCCCCTACCCATCCAGCTAAGTCAGAGGCTTCCTGTGGCTTCCCATTCATTGCTACTGAGTAAGTCCAAGCTCCTTCTCCAGCTGACCTCCGGCTTACCTTTCCAGCTCTATTTCCCACCCCTTCCTCATTTTATCTTCAGCCAAACTTGATTACTCACTGTCACAAAACATACCCTCCAGGTTTTTATCCACCCAGCATGCCATTGCTCCTGCAGTCCCTGGGTCCCACTCTCATGGAACTTCTACTTAACTCTAATCAGAGTTTGCTCTCTCCTCTTTCCCCACAGTGTTTTGTCTCTGTTTACTACCACTTAACCACTCTCTACTTGGGAATGTGAGCAGTTTACATTCTTGTCTTATTTACCCTTCAGTATGTGTCTTTCTTGAGGCCAGGGACAGTGCCTTAACCATTTTGTATTCCTCTTTGTGCCTAACACCTGGCTTTGGGTATATGAGGCACTCATTGAATGTATGTTAAATCAGTGAATTTAAGCTAGTCACAGTAAACCCCTAGAATACCATTAAACTCTGACCATGTTTAGAAAATGAACTGCTGTAATAAGGATATTTCTGTTATACCCCACCCAGTAGAAATGCCCCTGTGATGGTCTTTCACTCTGTAATGGGAGCAGACACAGTTGCAGCAAAAATATTTTGAGCTCGTGCTGAAAATGCTGCTGTATTCTTCATTAGCATCCTGACATGAATTATCTTGGTTTTACTAAAAGAGTATATTTAACTAAATAGTTTATATCCTTCTCCATATCATGCAGAGAAGCAGCTAACTTTCCTGTTGAATATTTGCCATATAATGAGTCATAAGAAATACATATTTGGTCATATGATGACCAAATATATATTTCCCAGGTATGTTTGATCTTCTCACAGTTCCTGAAAACACTGCAGAGTCTTAAAGGTGAAATGATTGTCTTATCATATAAACTTCATATAATAAAGTTTAATTAAAACTTTTAGACCCCCACTCAAGGGCAAGGGCTGGAGGTTAAATCAGCCAATGGCCAGTGGTTTAGTCAATCATGGCTATGCAGTGAAGCCCTCACAAAAACCGCTGAGAAGGGCTTTTCGCTCTCAGCTCTCTTGGCTCCTGCTTCTTGGTCGGAGAGAGCTTCTGCACTTGGGGAACCAGGACGCCTCCCCGCACCACTGGCCAGGCCCCAACCTCCACGAGGACAGAAGCTCCTTTACTTGGGACTTTGCCCCATGTCTCTCTTCATCTGGCTGTTAACCTGTATCCTTTACGGTGTCCTTTATTAAACTGGTACAACCATGTTTTCCTGAGTTTCATGAGCCGCTCTAGCAAATAATTGAACCTAAGGGGGAGGTTGTTGACCTCCAGTCTCTAGTGGGTAGGTCAGAAGCACAGGTAACTGCCTGGAGTTTGCGACTGGCATCTGGAGTAGGGGGGTGGAGGGCAGTCTTACAGGACAGAACCCTTAACCTGGGGAATCTGGTACTGTCTCTGGGCAGTTAACATCAGAATTGAGTTCTCCAACACCCTGCTGGCTTTAGAGAATTGCTCAGTGTTGTGTGTGTGGGAAGACCTTCCTTCCCCCACCACCACCACCACACACACACACACATTGGAATAGGGTCCAGGTACCCAAAAGAAATTAGGCACATATTCACATCATTCAAAATCAGAAGTTATAAAGGACAAGTATCAGTTTTCAATCTGTTTTCTCTTAGCACCTTCTCTTTTACAATGCATTTAGTGAGTGAAGGGATAAGGGATTTGTTCAATTAATATTTATTGAAGGCCTACTATGTGCTAAGCAGTGTGCATAGGATGTAACTGAATAGGCAGACATGGTTGCTGGACTTGTGAAGTTTATAATTTAGTGGTAACAACTGATAAGGGAACAAAAACAACAAAATTGCAAATTGTGATAAATGCCTTGAAGAAAACAAACTTTCCTAATGATAGAAAATAATAGAAGTAACCTAATTTATTGTGTGGTTAAAAAAGGCATCTGAAGTGATAACACTGAAGTTGCTACATGCAGTTTGAGAGCCTGGGGCCTTTTAGGCAGAGGTAAATATATGCCGAGGCCCAGAGAGCTTGATGGGTGCTGGGGACTGAAAGAAGGCCTTCGGGGAGGGAGAGGAATGGTGAACTGGAAAGCTGAGCATGAGCTGCATCGTGCAGGAGCGTGTACATAGAAAGAAGTTTAGGTTATATTTTCAGTGCCGGGGAAGCTAATTTAAGCCAGAGAATATGATCAGATTTTCATTTTAAAAAGACCTCTTTGCTCTGTGAAAAAAAATGGTGTAGAAGTGGAAGTAGGGAAACCAGTTAGGATGCTCCATAGATGTCCGGGCACGAGATGACGATAGCCTAGATGAGGAACTGAGCAGTAGAGGTGGGAAGGAGGCAACAGATTCAAGGGACATGCTCATCGTAGAAGCAGCACCTGAAGAGCCAGATGTCAGAGGGACACAAAGCTGAATTCATATGCTTATCCGGGGATGGTCATTTCAAGAAGTGTGTAATAATGCCAGTTTAAGGTGGAACTCTGTCCTCCAAAGTATTTTATTCATGCTTAGTGGCTATCAGATGCATGACTGGTCATTTCAGTGTTGCGCTGCTTTTAATTTTTTTGGTAAGATTTTAATTAACCTGTCTTTATCCGTGTTCATTTGCTGAAATAGATACAAATGCCTTGTGATGTCAGTTGTAAAAAGAAATTGGTAATTGGGTACCAACCAGGTCATTACTAATTATGGGATCATGGACAAGTTCATATCTCTTGAGATCTCTAAACTATAAAATGGGTCTTAAAATTAACAAATTGCCGATATATGGGAGCTGCTTAATCAAAATGTTTTCTTTAGATTAAAACTCAAATTCATACATATGTATATGTGTGTATGTATATGTATATATCAGATGTTAGAACTCACATATACTAATTTTTTATTTCAAGTGTAAGCAATCTTTTTTAGCAGCTGCTACTTCATTAATCTTGGAAGGCAGTTCTCAGTATCAGAAACATAATGGAAATTGATTGATCCCAGTATATTTTAACTTGGCTTCATAGGCAGTATATAAGGTACTACTTTATAGGTCTACTCAAGTCTTCTTTTTTAATAGAATATTACAAAGCAAGAGAAGACCAAATAAAATTAGTCAAGAAACCAAAATTTAAGGAATACCATGTTTTTAAATAGGTAATTCTATTTTAGAAACTGGACAAGAACAACTAGGTCATGCAAAGCAAATAACTGGAGTGGTCACAATTAAGTTAAGATGTACCTATGTTTGTAAAAGAAAACTTTAAATGTATAACCAGAGGGCGGGAGGAGCATGTTCTGGTGGGGGAAGAGGGCGATGAAGGCGGAAGGAAAGGGGGAGGGAGTGGTGCAGCCGCTGGAAGAGGAGAGCAGGACGAAGGCATGGTTGGGAATGTAGGACTTTAAGATGGCGGCGACACATGTGAAGACAAAGGACTTAAAGACAGTGGTGGAGAGAGGGGGAGGGGATCGTGAGCTGAGGGAGGTGGGCGACTGAGGTCCTCTGGTGGATCTGAAAAGGAAGAAGGACTGGACAGAGTAAGAGGCTGACCATCTTTAACTGGAGATCGGGCCAGGAGAACCTGGGTTGTTGAACACTTAACATAAAGGTCTAGGTAGGAGCACAATGTCCAAAAGGCCTGCACATATGGGATTTCACCCCACTTTCTGCTGCAGTGGCAATAATTAGTCAAGTCAGTGAGGAGGCCAAAATTGAAGTTCCCTCAGGGGGCCAGCGAGATTGGTTGTCCAAAGGATACTGAGGCCAGGCCTCAGATCAAAGAAAGACCAGCTTCCATTTGCAAACTTCCCAGGACAGAGTAGCCAAATAGAAATGAGCCCCCCTTCGTTCTGTTGAACTCTCACGTGTTAACGTTTCGTCATTTGCCTTTACTGCTGGCTCCTGTACTTTTTGCCTTTTTCCAAACCCTTTTCTTTTTTAATAACCTTTCAGAGAAACTCTTGACTTTTTATTTTTTACTTTTTCCTTTTTTCTTTTTTCCCAATTATTAAAAAATATCCTTCACCTTGTTTTCATTTTGTTTTGTTTCATTTTTGTTTGGGATTTTGTTTTTGTTTTTTTTAATCTGTGGTTTGCCTCCACCCTGTAAAGCATTACAGTCTTGGAATAACTTTTAAGAATTAACGCTCCTGGTAGGATCAGTAATTCTAATCTGAAAGAAAATGATTTGGAGATGGACCCCATGATTTTGAATCATAGTGTGTCCTAAGATATACAAATAAATAAAATGACCTTATCAGATCATGACATTTGTAGGTAAATCAAATGTGTTAGAAATTATTTGCATTTACTGATATGAGAAGCTAAAGAC